GTTTTTAATTAAGCCAACTTCTTTTTGATTCTTATACGCCTACGTTAATAGCTTATCGGATTGATGTCTCAGAGAAGGTCGAGGGTTTTTTTGGCAGTTAATCCTTAATGACGCAAAAGGAAGGCGCTTTTTGTTCTTTACGTCTAAAATGCAGTATAAGAAACTTGATGGTTTCGTGATACTTTTTATTTTTTCGAGATACATTAACAATGATCTAAGAGTTATAAAAGCATTTTTATATTAAACAGAATTACACTTTATCAGCTCAATACCTAGCAATGTAATCAGTGCCACAGACAAATGTCAGTGGAGGAAATGAATTTGAAAGTGTTGCAGAAAAAAGTACAAAGTTTACAGTGGAACGAGACAGTAACAGTTACACTTTTGTGCGTTGAAGCCTATTTAATAAAAAATTGCAAATATGGTTTAATTGTTAACGCAAAATTACTGGAGAACTTTCTAAAATTTGCAGCTTCAGTAGACCGTTATGCATCGCTGTTTATTTCAAAGAAAAGAACATTACAATAAGACGCTCAAATGAGCTTAAGGTTTATTATTTTAAATTAATATCAGCTAAAATATTTGAAAAATAGAAAGATTAGAAAATTATAGTTATTTGACTACTGTCCTGATTTCTTAGTGAGAAAATGCGTGACAGTATAGAAGAACTAGGCATGACGGCAATAAAATAACTGCAACGAAGTATTGATCACAGAATTATAAAACAGCTAAATTGTAAGTTTTAATTAGATTTATTGAGAATGTTTATTTAAATCTTTCTTTCCTTTTAGATTGAAGTTGACACTGCTTTAGAAATATTTTCTTTACAGGAATGCAACTTTTACTTTTACAAACAAAAAAGTATCGGTTTTTGGAGTTAAACGAGTTTTCCAAAAATAAAATACGAAGCTCATTCGAAATATCTAAAAAGTAAATTTAGTACATTCTAAAACATTGTATTGGAAATCAGGAGTAAAATATTTTAACATGCACGCTGTGTAATTTTTTAGGAAATTTACGTGGCTATGATTAAATACTCCAGAACAGAAATCCACTGCCAAAAATGCTTTCTAATCTGTATTACCAAAACCGACTTGTTCCTTACACAATGATTTACGTTCGCTGACTTAAAATTGATGACGACAATTGATAATAAACGCATCTACTCTAATTTCGTTTTTTTCGTGAAGCATGGTAAAGGATATACGAACAACTTCAGGTAAAGAAGTTTCTATTGAGAATTTTTTCCTGCCAAAGTCATGGTAATGTTCTAATTTAATGGTGAGACTTATATTCTATTTTGTGCCTTTATAAGCTGTAAAAGTTTTAAAAAAAATTAAAAGAAAACACTCGATATATAAAACATTTTCAAATTTTCTGGATACAAATGTAATACACGCTGACAAGGGTTGATGAAATGGCAGCTGAATGTGACTGCCGGTTTACTTGGAAATAATTTAGGAAATGATACAGTTTATTATCAGTTAGAAAATAATGATAGATTAATGTCATCGTCGTGGTTTTTAGCTAGATAGTGAACTAAAATAATGCATAAAGAGTTAAAAAAGATTAACTTAATCTTAGAATTTCTTACTTATCTTTGACAAACGACAGCCCACCTTAAAAGATTACGACTTTCAGCCTAAAAAAGTTTGATGAAACCCAGTTTTTGTTACAACGACTAAACTTTTTACGTTTATCTGTT